AGCCTTCTTAACCAGTTGGACATCGCCGATCACAAACAGCGAAGAACAGATCGCAAAACTATCCAAACTTGGGTATCTTGAGTCTTTTAGCTTAGGTACTCGGCTCGCATACCGATATCCGCATCTACTACCCGTAAAAAGGAACGCATCTTTCAAAGTCTGGGGATCAGATGCGAATCGAACAAGTCATAGCGCCGAGGGGATCTTTGCTGGACTTTTTAGTGGTGATGAAACGATTGGCCAAGTAGTCGAGGTCTCAGAGGATACGGACCGAGGAGCCAATACTTTAACACCGACCAGAAGTTGTCCCAAATTTGATTTCAGGACGGGTCGAGATAACGCGAATATTTGGCTAGCACACTATGCAGTACCGATCATGGCGCGATTAAACGCTCAAGTCTCAGGATTCCACTTTTCACCCCAAGATGTGTTGGCGATGCAAGAGCTGTGCGGATACGAAACTATCATTCGAGGTAATTCACGCTTTTGCGGAATTTTCGCGCCCGAAGAATGGTTGTCTTTTGAGTATTATTTCGATATCAGATACTATTATGAGTTGGGTTACGGAAATAATTTATCACCTAGCCTCGGTATGCCGTGGGTCGTTGCATCGAGCGCTCTTCTCAGTCGTACATCTGTCAACGATCAACATCTTTATATTAGCGTCGCTCATCGACAAATGCCACCTCTTATCATGACAGCGTTAGGTCTCTACAACGATTCGGAGTATCACAGTACAGTAAATATAAACTCTGTGATCCCACTCGACAAAATTAATTATCAACGAGTGTGGAAGTCAAGCGACTTCATTCCATTTTTGAGTCAAATTGCATTGGAACGACTCAATTGTAAATCTGCTGCGTACAATGGATCATTTGTGAGAGTTCTTGTCGGTTCGGCACCGAAACCTTTACCAAGATGTGCAAGCGGGCCGGGTGCTAGCTGTCCATTAGAACAGTACATGGATTATGTGAAGAACCGTAATGACTTATTTGAAGATTTTTCAAAGGCTTGTGGAACGCAAAACAATGATATCACCAGTGTGCTGAGCTTTTTTTGGAAGGATGATATTTTTAATATCTAACCTTTTAAATGCCAGTAATTGATTCAAACTTCATATAAATTAAACAGATTCAAAACTGGAAAGGCAATTGTTTAACAGAAAGATTCCACAAGCAATCAGGCTAATCATATAAGCATGATAAAACATATCTATCAGATTGTATATACTCATATGGACAAATGAGAAAACTTCCCTTTGAGCTTTTATTGCTTGTTGCGTTTTCTGCTATGAATCGATAGCTGCTAGATAAATTGACAATAATTCCTGTCTTTCTCTCTAAAATTTGTATATACATCATATATGATTTAGGAATGTAGATGTGTTTGAATGAAGATACCTCGAAAGAACAGATATAGTCTACACCCACACTGTTTAGTTTACAAGTATTATCGATATAATTTCATTGTCTTTTATTTTCTTTTTATACATATTTTGATCATCAATAAACCCTTCGACACGAACCGTACAATAAGAAACCCTTAAGAGAGGGTCCATGAGGGGACCACCCACACGGGCACTTGAAAAATTTTGACATCCACTTTTTATTGCATAAAACGAAAGCTCATGGTTGAAAACCTACAGATCCAAAATATTAGCTCTTTCTGACTTACCCTTCCAGAGTCATACAGGCGACACTGGTCGTGTGTCATGATGATTGAGATCCAAATACCAAATTTTACGTATTCGCGGTATTTCGTCGATTTCTCCGCTAGATCTTTCTGAATCTTTTCCTGTAATATCTCGAAGATAGAGGATTTTCCGCTCTATCGAACTGTATATATGGCTAGTTTTTCCGTGCTTTCTGAGACTGCTGAGTGTGAATACACTGCGTGGACTGCTAAACAGTTGGACCTGCTGACAGTATTTTAGCGAAAAGTGGATGAAGAAAGATGTGCCCCATTTTTTTGACTCCAGATTCTGAAAGAACGTCAAAAACTGCACCGATTCATGTGTGTTTCATTTTGAAAACGGAACAGAACAGCAGTAAAAACTCAATAATGAAAATGGATCCCATGTAGAAAATGAAAAAAGGTGTTTTGCGTAGTCACACAAAAATAATGCAAAAACATAAGTGCCCTAACGTCAAAAATGGTTAACTTACAAAAGCGAAATTCTGCAAAATTTTGCGTATTCTTCTAGAACAAAATATTTACAAACTTCTGTATTAGTTCGACTTTCCTTACAAATTCTATCAGTGCAGATATACCCTGTACTACTTCTCTTTATTAGTAAAGATTATAACAAGTGGATGTTGCTCACTGTTAATGAACCGTATAGCTAGCAGCAACAACAATTTAAACACACAGACTATTAGCTAGACTGAGTTTGCATATCCATTTCTGACACTACTAACGGGTGGCGCATAATAAACGGGACACTTTTGTTCTTTATTTCTAAGGCACTTCCGAATGATCTAAAAATCTCACTCATTTATAACTTCATATAATGTAGCAGTTC